GGACAAGCTCATGCCCTCTGACATACAGCAAGGGGGGGAGGGCAAGAGAGACTGTTTTTCGGACTGTTTGTATGTGTGTGTGTGTGTGTGTGTGTTGGCAAAGTGTGGGAAGGGGGGGTGGGGGGTCGATGACGATAGACTGATGGGAAAAGCGGAGGTTGGGGGTGGTAACATGTATGCTCATGCAGCAACAGTGTGACTGTCTATATTACAGAGTGGACAAAGACATACTTGGCGGCGAGGGATGGTGATGGGGGAGGGGAGATGGGCGCACTGCTTGGCATTACGATTATGACTATAACTCACAGAAGAGTAGACTGGGCAGACAAAGACAGAAGCAGTACAGGACTGTGTCATCTTATATTAACGAAGTCGGCTTATGTCAGTATGTCAGCATTACGTTCATCTGTCAGATCTAGATGTCTGAGTCAGGGATGATAATCACTGGCATTGAGTTCACTGTTGTTTACGGCTGCAACTTATTATATTCATTATCGATTAATCGACTAATTATTTTCTCAATTAATTCATTAAATGCTCTATAAAATGTCAGAAAATAGTGAAAAATGCACAACATTCCAAGGTGTCCAAGTCCAAGGTGACATCTTCAGTAGACTTATTTGTCCAAATATCAGTTCAAATGTTAAAGAAAATTAATTTCCAATGACATAAAAGCAGGAAATATTTGGTAGTTTTGCTTAAAAAGTTGCCAATTAATATTTGCCGCTCAACTAATCAATACACTGACTATTTCTTGCAGTAAAACTGGCATTTACAAGCTGTTTTAATACACTGAATAAAAGCAATTTATCAGGCAGCAGTGATGCTATCAACCAAACTTCATGTTAAACATTCAAGCATTCGACACTGTTATTATGTAAAGAAAATGTTTATTTATCTGTGAGAAAATGTTGAGCAGTAAATCCTGCGTAAAGCACATATTTAATCTCACATTGAAGTATTAAAAGATGGCTTCCAATGCCTGTTCAGATTTGTAATTTTTAAAATATTAGAATATTTTATACATTATGGCTGCTTATACTTATTTGATGATCAAAATAAAGAGGTTTAACTTCTTGTGTTAAATAGAAAAAAAGGGTTTGTAGGCGTAAATATTTATATTCCTTATGTTAAAGTTTTGTTTAGATTCAGTAAACTTATGTATAATATTGGCACTATGTTGAAAATTGTGTAGTGGCGCATAGTGGTCAGTTGTAGTGATGATAACAGTATTTTTTTTTTCATATTGGGGCATTAAATTATTTTATTGGAGAGCAGACAGTGGAGACAGACAGGACACAAGAGAGAAATGAGGAATGACATGCAACAAAGCCGAATTCAAACTGGAAACTTTGTGATTACATGGTTGGCGTGTTAAACCCTGAGGCCACAAGGGCAAAAAAAAAAAAAAAAAAAGAAACAGTGACATTTACGGTCAACACTGTGCGTTGGTGTGTGAGTCACACAGAAAAGTAAAGAGGATAAACAGTGCAGAATCCAGATGAAAGTGAGTAAAATGCTCTTTATTCTTTTTTATTTTTCTAGAGAGAGCAGATCGTCCACCACCATTCAATCTATTTTTTAGATGTTTCAGACAGTAAAAACAGACAGGAAAGAGAGGAAAGTGTGACAGCACATAGCACAAGTCCATTTGAAACCATATGCAGTGGCAGTGTCTCATTGATTTTAATGGGACAGTATGATGTGAAAACATGACAGGAGACACAGGGGAGATAACCCAAGCAGCACTGCTATATGCTATTCCCAGCTGTATGTGTTAATCCACTCAGCAATCACGCCACCAAAAGTTTCCTCAGTGTTTTTCATCATCGGTGGAGGGAGGAAACAAAAAAAAAACGCACAAAAAAACGCTTGTTCCTCTCTAAGCTCTCTATGAGACAGGGAAGACAGAGCTACGCTGAGAGATGGAAATAGATCATGAAATACAGAAACTGAAATGATTTCCCAGTCACACAGCCACTTACAGCGAGGAGGAACACTCAGAGACGAATGAAAAAGTGGAATGGATGGTGAACAGTGATAGCATAATTCACAGTATATAGACATCTAAGGCCAGCGCCAGAGTTGTTCAGATTTAACAAGGAGTGTGGGGGGGGGGGGGGGGGGGGGGGGGGGGGGGGTAAAGTGCTGATCTCCTCCATTTTCCCAGAAGATATCTAGTTAACTGGCAAGAAACTATGCATATTTTTAATGAAGTGGAGATACCACCCACATTCATCCCCAACAAATCAACCCCTGGGACGACAGTGGGAGTCGTGTTTGCATTTCCTAAGTGCCTTACATTGGCAAAAGTTATGGTAGAAAGTGATTTCAACTGCTCCATAAGCTGTGATACTACAGCACCAACCTCTAGTGTATAACGCTGTTATGTTACTGCACTGATAGTGAGTGTGTGTTGCTCTGGGTATGTTTCTGTTGTAGACCCACCCCGCAGGCTGAATGAATGAAACATGCATGTCCAGTCTGCCCCTCTTGAAACACACACACGCACACACGCACAGAAACTAAACATGTATAGCAGCACCTAGTGGCCTCAATTTGCTGTTGCATTGTCAGTATAGACGAGAGAGCTGCCCTTTAAAATGGTCATGTGTGTGTAACCCACATGTGTGGGTGAGCTACTTATGTGTTTTAGATGAAGTATTGTTAACATATTGGTGCTAGACTGCTGCTTTTTTTCTGCAGCGCAATGTAGATAATTAGGACTCTATTTAGAGAGAGGGCCAGCCCAGGAAATACACAGGAGATCCTTACTTCATTAAAAATCAATTATCATAACACACGTGCCAGCGCAATACAGCCCTCATGGCCACAATCAGCTACACACTCACACACACACATGTGTGCAAACTTCTCACTGTAGTGTAGTGCATACTCTAACAACTATCTTTGTTCTTTGCGAAATTCATCTCGAGTTAGTTCTCTGTCTTTTTCTCTCTCAAGAGATTGTGCGGGCCTGATCCTCCTCTTAGCTGAGGAATCGCCAGCGTTGCAGTCCCGCTCTTACATAATAACCTCAGGATAATGCTCGTGCTCCCGCTGGCCGAGGACACTGTCAGTCACTCAGCTCAGGCTGGGTCACCTCAGGTTGAAAAGAAGGCCCTCCCACTTCTGTTAAAGACATGTAGCTAAGAGCTAAAATAATCTCTGAAAAACAGAAATGAGTGGCTTGTTTTCCACTGACATTTTGTTTGGAAATGGATTCATGTCAGGAGAGGTTAGGGGGATAGCTGCATTAGACACTTTTCTCTAAAGTTCTACTCTATTTTAGAAGTTCACTTTCACTACAGCTTGAAGGATACAAGTTTGCTTCTGTAAGTAGAACCAAGAGAACAAATACCCAAAATCCATTATCATACATCCTAACTTTGAAAACAATAAGCCTCTTTGAAACATCCAACAAATAACACGTCTTAATTCTGCTGTAATCCACCAATGCAGCTGAAGTGTAACAAGGCAGCAAGCATGTATTGTTGATGGATGAAGAAGTGGGAGTCCTTTGGTAAACAATCCACAAAGCCTCCGCTGCTGAGAGAGGGCAACAGGACGAACAGTGATGATAGACCGAGTTGGCTCCGCGCACTGATGACATCACTTCCTTTAAGAGTGTGACAGCTTAGCACATCATCGCTGTGACAGCCAGACGAGTGCAGCGAGTGGGTGGTCACCCTGGCAACAGCAATGCTGTCATGACCGTCTCCCTATATCCTACCTGACAGTCCCCACTGGCAATGAGCACAACATACACTCAACAATGCGCACACCCACACACACACACACACACACACACACACACACACACATACACATTCACTTTGTCAAACACACGCAGACATGTACGCATACTTTATCTTTCTCTGTGTCTTTTTTTACAAGTGAAACGCTCACTCAAACCCTCTCTGAGACACACACTGAAACAATGCACATGCCCACACGCCCATGCTCCTTTGGGCATAATTATGTGATACAAAGAGGAGTACAATCTCCCATGGGGTAAAGAAGAAGAAATACAGTGAAGATATAATGTAATCACTGGTGAGAAACAGTAAACACACACTCCTCTAAGGTGGAAAAATGTAAAGAGGTTTTACAAGAAACCTACAGAAATAATACGTATGTATATCCACATCACAGCAGCAGCAGGTGTGGGCTGAACATATTCAGCTCGTCTAAACCCAGAGAGATTCACCTGTTTCATGATAAACAATTTAATCAAAGAGTTTGACTTGAATTATGTGATAAACAGTCCCCACCACAAGAGTAAAAGGATTAAGTAAGAATGAAGGTGATAAGAAGCACAACTGACGCACTGTCTTCTGTTTATTGCTCACATGCGGTCTGTTGATAACAGCCATGTCCTGGGCGCGACTGACCTGTTTTACAGACTATAAATAGCGTTTTTCAGGCCACGTTCATTGACAGCTCTGTGTATGTGTCGTCTGTGTGCCGTCCCAGTCCAGTGCTCTGCTCTGACCCAGTTTGGAGCCAGTTGGCTGAGAATTGGTGGAAATGGGTCACGTCTTGAGCCGCACCAGAACTCACAGCACGAGCTGCGCCACTTTAAGTACACAGTCAAACAGCGCGTCGCTCTGTCCATAGGTCATCCATGTGTAGTCAGTCTACTGCGAAGGGACACAATGATCCATTGTTGAGGTACTATATGACAATTATAATTTCACAAGAGACAAATAAAGAGGGTAAAGGCCCGTTCACATCCTGAATGACAACTGTAAAGATAACTATAATAGCACATAATGCAACAGGCATGAGGGACGGCGCATAGTCCAGGTTTTTGTCTGACTGGAGGCCATTTTTTAGACATTTCCATGCCTCCTGATGGCCACTAGGGGGCAGATAGGCAAAGGAATTAATGAGGGGAAAAGCAAATGAGTGGATACATGCTAAGTTACTCTCTGGATCTATAATGTTCTTTGTTCCTGTAACTGTTAAAGTCATTATTTTTTTATTCTCAATTCTCTTAACCTGTGTTTTAAAACAATGTCAAGGGTATGTAAAGAGAATACAGTGCTAAATAAAAATTATTAATATGATTAAGCTGACACTGGCACTTATTAAAGGTATGCTATGAAGGATTTTCCTACAGAACGTCAGGATTCATACAGAAGTGAACAATGTCAGTGGTTCCCAATTAGTGGGTCGCAGGTCCATTCTGCAAGTGACTCACGAACATGCCAAGTTTGTAAAAAACACACTTTATTCTGAAGAACATTGCTGTGGAGTGAGTGACTGTATATCAGCAAACCAGCACAATGACATGGCCAAATGCAAGTATGACTGTGTGGACCTTAAACTAATGACTAAAGATAATTCTGGACCCCGTGGCTGAACCAGTTGGGAACCTCGGATCTATGTCAATCATCAGTTAAGACCCACTAGAAGTGTGTAGCAGTGTGTTTTTTGCAGAGACTCTACTTTCTGCCTGTGTTTATTTATTTATTATTTTCTGTGCTCAAAATGTTTATGACTGTGTATCCCCACAGTGTGCAGTTGAGGTCTGGACTTTATAAAAAGATGGCGACGAGGTGCCAGACAGTAAGAGGCAGGCATTCAATAGCCACAGCGCTGAAACCCCCCCCCCGCAACTATAGGGAGACAAAACGGCAAATGGGAGTGAATCTAGGGTTGGCTTTTACTTTAACATTCACTGGCGAGCATGTTAACAGTAACCCACAGTCCTGTATAGTATACCTCGTATACCACCTTGGGTTTGACCTGAGGTTCAGGCAGAGTGTATAGACAGCAGTGAAACTCTGCTCCTGCTCAGTCGCTTAGACAGACAGAACTGTCTCCATTGATCCGCATATGGGATTATCCAATTATATATACTGCACACTCATTCCTCCCCAGACTGTATGCCTGCACAGTATATACTGTACACACATGCAAAACAGTTTAAACTGCAAAACCAGAACATATACTCAAATGCACAAAAATAGCCAGATACAACTGCACCTCAGTGTGCACACACACATACACTAAAGACAAGCTCAGACATGCACAGAGGGACACAAACAACTTGTTCTCTGCAAATACACACCTCTGAAGCACCAACTCCAGCTACACATTGCAAGATTTGTATCGTTCTTAAGGGGAATCAGTGAGTCAAGTTTTATGCAAAAATTGAATATAAAACCGCAAAACTTGTATTTTCGCTTCTGCCAGGTGACTTTGTCTATTTCTGAACTTCTCAGAGCCTCTATAAAACTATAGGACTGTGCAGGGAGATTACATGTGAATGGCTATTTCAGCTGTGGCTAAGCCCATGCTCATCAAAGAAGGCAACCAGCTCGACGGGAAATAATTTAGGATTAGATAGGCTGTCTAATCTCTTTATAGAGGGTGTGCCATCTCAGCAGACATACCTGCCTACCTCCACATCCATCTCATATCTCTTTAGGAACTGCGTCTCTCGCTGTCCATATATTATGGATATTAAGTCTAAAGACACTAGTGGCAGGTAGCTCTGCGCGATACCTTGAAATACTTCCTGTTGTCCATATTCAGTGCCTTTGGTTGCGACTGTACATGGAGCTGCCCATACACAGTGAGTAAAACTTTGACGCAAATGAAAAATAGTGTAGTTAGTGCATTTGTAGATTAAGAAATGCAACATACTAAAGTTGTTAGTAAAAGGGTTGTAGAGCTCAACGTCTGTGTGTGTGAGAGAGAGAGAAAAACATTTGGAGCGCAAGTGTGGTCCTTCAGTGATGTAACCTGTTTTCTCATTATTGGCAACCTTTCTAACCTGCAGGGGTCTCTCCTTCAAGCATGCAGGGGTCTTCTCCCTCAAAAGAACCCACACACACAATTAACACTATCTTGTCCTGTATGTGTGTGTGAATGTGCGTCTGTGTATGAATACAGTCCTTGATGTCTCGGTCATTAGACAAACTCCTGCAAGGACATACAGAATGTCCAGATGTCATGGCGCCCTTGTGAAATTGAAGTCACACACATACTGTAGACAGACACACATTGTAACCCAATTCGGCTCCTAAGGCCAACCAGGTTATGTGCTGTTTTTTAACCTCTGAATTAAGACCACCAGCTGAGGTCTGAAAATGTTGTTCTATGTCCTGTCCAAAATGTGTTTTGTAACGTGCATCTCTTTGCTTGCAGCCCAAATCGAAGTCATACCTTGCAAAATCTGCGGAGACAAATCATCAGGTATCCACTATGGAGTCATTACGTGTGAAGGATGTAAGGTGAGACTTAATGCACTGTTTCAATCAAAGCCTGTTTTGTTTCTCTGTGCTCAGATACTGTGAAGTCAGTCATGCACAGTTTGTGCTCTGTGGGTACTTGTACGTCTTTACTCATGCTCTTTGTTGACATGTGTGACCAGGGTTTCTTCAGACGGAGTCAGCAGAACAATGCATCCTACTCCTGCCCGCGCCAGAGGAACTGCCTCATTGACAGAACAAACCGCAACCGCTGCCAACACTGCCGCCTGCAGAAATGTCTCGCCCTAGGAATGTCCAGAGATGGTGAGGGCTGGTATATCTGTATCTAGATGTATATGCAGGAATGATCATTACTGATTTATCATATGTGTGGTGCATGATTGTACACACAGGTCCAATGCAGATTAACATGCTTTTACATTATTTGTCTTTTACTGATTTATACTAACTGAAAAAGCTGAAAGGTTGTGACAGTTTTTTGTTAATAGTTTTGTCCCCCTGCCTTGTTTTCCCCCCTGCAGCGGTTAAGTTTGGCCGCATGTCCAAGAAGCAACGTGACAGCCTGTATGCAGAGGTCCAGAAGCACCAGGCGCGACTGCAGGAGCAGCGGCAGCAGCAGACAGGCGAAGCAGAAGCTCTGGCACGTGTTTACTCGTCCAGCCTAACCAACGGACTGTCCACCCTCAACCATGAGATTGGGGGCACCTATGCCAATGGTCATGTCATTGAGCTGCCAAAGGGTGTCCATGGTAACGGAGGCGGAGTCCCAGGGGGATACTATGGGATGGATTCCACCCAGCCGTCTCCAGACCAGTCAGGTTTGGACATGTCGGGCATGAAGCACATTAAGCAGGAGCCGGTGTATGACCTGACGCCAGTGCCCAACCTGTTCAGCTACGGAGGCTACCAGGACAGTCAGCTGGGACCCAATAACGTCAGCATGGGAGAGCTGGGTAAAGACTGGCTTATATTTTGCTCTGTTTGACAGACAGACAGTAGATTAGAAATCTATATGAATTATCCACGTGGAAAAAACCCACAAAGGAGTTCTGGTAGAGAGCCTGAGTCAGAGTGCTAATCTGAGAGCAGAACAGATCAGACAGGCTTACACAGCTAGCTGACAAGGTGTCATATTACTGTATGTAGCACACGTTAAGATTAAGTTAAAATTAAGGATTTAAGTCAAGGGAATCCAAGGGAATGATAAATTAAGCAGTAAATTAGTAGCAGTGAAAAAAGCCTTATTTTTCTCCCCCTAAATTTTCAACATGCAGGGATCATTCCTGCAGTATGATGTACAGAATACACTTCACTACACTAATACATTTGTTAGGCACATTGCAGCCCCGCTTTCCCCGCCCACACACATGCCATATTCCACTGCATCAAATGTAAAAATGAATAAAATGATAAAACTGTACTGAAAGGAATAAATAAATAAACAAACCATCCTCTCTTCCAGACCGTATTGCTCAGAATATCATCAAGTCCCACTTGGAGACATGTCAGTACACGACAGAGGAGTTGCAGCAGCTAGCCTGGCAGACACACTCCTATGAAGAGGTCAAGATGTATCAGAGCAAGGTGAGGTTGCATGTTATCACAGCATCTTCACATATAGAATGTGACAGAGGTGTGGAGTCGAGTCACTTGAACTGGACTTAAGTCAGACTTGAGTCACGAATCTAATGACTTTAGACTCAGCTTGAGAAAATCAAGACTTCCAACTTGAGCCTTTTGACTTGAAAATACTTGATTATATTGATATATTGATACAATCCCCCAAGCCAAAAGATTGTAAAGTATGTTATGTAAGAAGTGTGCCATGAATCTATTCCTTTCCTGAATCAGCTAATGTTAACACTATTCATTCCCAGCAAGTTTACATTTCATTCCCCAAATCCACTTTGTTTGAACCAATCCAACAACAAGTTGCAGGCAAGAACCATGAAGAACAACCATTACATTACTGAGCACCAGTTGGAAAAATGATACCAAAGATAATTTCTTTTGCAAACAAAAACTCCACGGTGGCCAACAAAAAACAACTTGCAGTATGCTAAACATGGGTAGAAAAATTCTAGGTGGAGACGCAACAACTTCCAACAAAACTGTAACGAATTTTAACGAATAAGCACACATTTTTAAAGTTATTCATGATTTTTGTCAATATAGTATAATGACATAAAATTTGTTGAGGAGCACATTATGACTTGTTTCAGACTCAAAACTCAAAGTTTAGGACTCAGGGCTTGACTTGGGACTTGAGTGCAAAACGATAACTTGGTCCCACCTCTGAAATGAGAAAACATCTGGTACTAACAATGTCCAGTGCAGCAAGTTCATGTACTGACATAACTACTAACAAACTGGGTGTGTTTGGTTCTAGCCCCGGGACGTGCTGTGGCAGCAGTGTGCCATCCAGATCACCCATGCAATCCAGTACGTGGTGGAGTTTGCCAAGCGCATCTCAGGGTTCATGGAACTGTGCCAGAACGACCAGATCCTCCTGCTCAAGTCAGGTGAGTTCACTGGACTGATAACGACGGGTCAGGGTCACAGGTCACAGGTCACAGGTCAGACAGTGTAGTTCAATGTGCTTTTTAGTCTGTACATCAGCTTCAATATCATCACAATCTGTCTCCATGGTTCTTTCAGGTTGTTTGGAGGTAGTCTTGGTGCGGATGTGCAGGGCGTTCAACCCTCTCAACAACACTGTGCTCTTTGAGGGGAAGTACGGAGGCATGCAGATGTTCAAAGCTCTAGGTAAGACATTACCACCTAAATGGCCAATCAAAATTGAGAGAAGAAGGGGAAAATGCAAAAAAAAAGAAATGGAAAAAAAACCTCTACCCCTTTGAGGTATTTTTGCTCATCTGCACATACATGACCGGAATAAGTGTAATGAAAAATCTCTCTTTTTTTTGTCTGCCCTTGTCTGTCCTTTCCTCTGTGTTTCCCTCCAAGGTTGTGATGACTTAGTGAGTGCGGTGTTTGACTTTGCCAAGAGTTTGTGTTCACTGCAGCTGACAGAGGAGGAGATCGCTCTGTTCTCAGCAGCTGTACTAATTTCTACAGGTCAGTGCACATTCCCTAATATCATTATAATACAGGAGGCGACCTGTGTGAACCTCAGTGTCTGCACTGAAGCAAATCATGTAAATAAAACAAAATAGTCACACTTATTATTGTATTAGTCTCAAGCAGCATAATCACAATTGTAGTAATTAAGTCCATGAAGCTCTAATATTTTGTGGCCTTTGACTTTGACAACTTTATGAACATCTCTTCACATGCCAACTCAAAACTATTAGAGTAAAAAGAACTTCTTTGTTTGTTCCTACTCAGATCGCCCGTGGCTGATGGAGCCTCGGAAAGTCCAGAAGCTCCAGGAGAAGATCTACTTTGCTCTGCAGCACATTATGCAGAAGAACCACATGGATGAAGATGCACTGGCAAAGGTAGGCCAAGTCTTGGCGAGATCATTCATATCAGGTAGCCTCAGAGGTACTGTCCTAAAGCAACAGGCAAGGCAAACACAGACACAAATCCTCAGAGGAAAAATGGAGCGATGTAAAAATAGCTTGACTCACTTCTAACCTTGCTCTTATTTGTTGTTTATCAGTCTAAATTTCTGTGTCCTTGACCATCTCTCTCTTTTGTCTCACAGCTGATCAGCCGAATCCCAACGTTGTCAGCCCTGTGCACACTCCACACCGAGGAGCTCCAGGCCTTCCAGCAGCTCCACCCAGAAACAGTCAACGTCCTCTTCCCTCCACTCTACAAAGAACTCTTCAACCCCGACCCCAACTCTGCCATGACCATGCCCAAGTGACTGCCTGTGGTCCCGCTGCAACAAATGGCATCAGCAGAGGACCAAGAAAATAAAAATATAGCCACGTCTGATGAGACAACAGCAACTGTGTCGACTATGTCACCGTCGTGGCAACCACATATTCCTGAGCTCCACGAGCCTCATTTAAGGCTGCGGGGTGAGGAGTCATCTGCCAGAAACTTACAGTTACCGCCAACAATACTAGGAATGTCCAGCACTTATCCCATCCCGTTCACCGATACAGTCTGAAGAATGTATATATAAAAGAAACGCGCCCCAAGCCACAACTTAAATGGGGCTTCCTCCCGTCTCCTGAACTGAACTGACTGACCAGAAATGTACAGACTTTAAAACATCTAGGAACAATTTTAAGCTGTCAATCTTTAAAAAAAAAATGGGTAAGTTAATTTGTTTTAACTTTGAAAAAAATCTTTTTGGTTTGTTTGATTTTTTTTTTTTTTTGATTTTTTTTTTCATGTGAAGAAATTGTGAAGTTGGAGAAGCTAGACGGGGGAGGGAACTGTGGATTTAGAGAAGCTATTGTAGATATTCTTCTAGTGCAGAGCGGATTCCAGTATTACTTCTTGTTCTGTTAAAATAAGTTAGTCCTAATTTAAATATACAGCAGTCCACTGTGGCTGACTATACCTTGTCTATGTGTTTTTATTTTATTTGATAGTTTCTTGTGTACAGAATTTGTAAAGTTGAGACTTGTAAAAGAATATTTGGTAAAACCGGGAGTCGATTCGGGTTTTGTTGATATATAGAAGCCTTGTCTGGATTTTGTTCATATGTAAAGAAGGTACTGCATCCTTCTCATAGAAATGTAAAGAGACCATATGAAGGATTTAAAAAAGAAAATAATGACTACTACTTTTCAAGGTGAAGATATATACATAAATATTCTATTTTGCAAGAAAAAGAATCTGGCAGATTTGCCATCCTATCAATCATGTTTTTTCTCGCTGCAATAATTATGTCCAATAAAAGCTGGACTGCTTTCGAACAATCAACCAGAAACAACCAATCAGAAACTAGGACCTCACAATAAACCCCGCCTCTTCCCAATGTCCCCTCACGCTGCCCCGTATTTCTTATGTATTCTGGCCTTGACATCAGATTCCAGCAGACAGAAGTGCGTGGGAATCACCATGAAGAAGTGGACAAAACTCCACAAAAAAACTTGAATTTATCTCACAACTTTCCAATCTTCAAAAACCTGTATGAGTGCCGTGTGACCTCATCCCGCCCATCACTATTTGCACAACTCAGTCCATGGATGTCAATCACTCCAGGCTGTGAATATGAAGGATCCTTTTTCTCTAAAGAGCAATAACTTTCACACTGCCTTTCTGATCTTACTTCTCTCCTTTCCTCCTCTTCCTATTTCCAGCGGTTCAGAACAGGGTAGCAGTTTTAACTAGAATGCACTATATTTGACTCTTGATCATTAATTATGTCGTAACAATCATCTCTATGGATGGTACTCGTTCCACCTCGGACTCTGCAGTCTCTTAAATGTGACACATTATGATCTGGGGTTAGGACATGACACAGAGCACTGACTGAAAGATGTGAAGAAATGCAGATTAGCCTGCAATGATCTTTAACACTTCTAAAGCTGCAATACTGCAATGACAATTCACACACAAAGCTGTGATAGACAGTAATGTTTATGCTTTTTTGTTAATCATTCCTTAATTGTTAGCACTTACAGATTGTCATTTTTTGGTTGCTTTCACAACACTAATGCTATGTTGACAAGCATTTGGCCACTGTGTAAAATCACACAGCTTTTACTGGGCGTGTATGCCATCTGTTGTTATCACTGTTTTTTTGCAATATGGCATTCATTCACTTTTGTCAAGAGATTTATGATGAGCTATGACACATCTCTAATTTCAAACTAAAGAGCTTCCTTTAAAATGAGCTACTTACCAAAATAAGTGACCCACTACACAATAATAACACAACATTAATCAGCTGATGATACTTTCACAGTTTGTTATCTGAATATAAATACCTAAATAAGACAATTTTTTGATCTAAGACTTTTACTTTTAATTACTATGATCAGTGGTCTCTGATCTAGTGTTATTTATGCACTAGAAATTGAGATCTGTGCTTGTTGTCTGCAAATGTTCACTGCACAGTGGCTAAATCTTCAACTTGCTGGTTATGCATTTACTAACACTAAAAAACACTTGAACATTACCATTTTCATCCTCACGTTTTCTCCACACGGTGAACAAAACAATGTTGACAGCATAGGGAACAAGCGTCAATGATAAACATTAGTGACGTACTCACATCTACCTGATCCGCTCACAGGATCCTTCCTTTGACCCCTGACCCGACCCCAGATCAGAGGCCAGTGACTCTTAAGACAATCACTTGCTCATTAAGGCTTGATGCACTACACAGCATCTCTCAGGGAGCAGCTCTTTTTCTGACTTTGCATTAAAAGAGGGTTTAATATTTTTGCAAATTTACAAAAAAAAAAAAGAATTATAATGACTTTTTAGGAGAAAAATGGCATATGCCGCCAATGTATGCTGGAAATGGAATCTGCCCAGACAAGGCTTTGATAAGTGTGTGTCTGTGTGTATGTGTGTACAGAGCACGAATTCACTGTCCAATTCTCTTTAGAGCAATGACAAGCATTGTTACGTAGCACATGAAGAAAAACAAAAAAATATATATATGTACACACTGTATGTTGGTGTGCTCTTGTCACCACTGTACTCTCATGTTTACTGCTTATTTTGCTGCTTTCGGGACAGTGAGGGATGTCCACTGGTAAGCTGTGAATCAAGCACCATTACAACACCCCTGGGACAGTGAATTCCAACTCTGAATGTGAAGTTTTTGTGTGTGATGTTATTATTTTCCCTTGTTAGACTGTGAATCAGAGGGGTGGGATGGGGTTATGAGAGGGGATGTGCTGGCAAGAACGAGTGGCAACGCAACACTGTAAGTAAGATACTGTAGCAATAAGAACTGGAGGCATTTACTACTGTCATGTTTGCATTGTAAGATTATTTTTTATTTTATTACTATTTACTATTATTATTGTTCTTATTATGACTACTATTCTTCTATTACTATTAGCCGATTGTTGTTCTGTTCTATTTGCATGACGTTTCATTGCAATGAAACATTTGGGGCTTATTTGTGTTTTCTCTTCTCATGATATTGTGAGTTTCGTGGGAGGGGTTTATCGGCAAGGTGGGCGATGGGTTCAGGGTGAATTCCACATCAATTCAGTCAGTTCAAAGCAAATTCCTTTCACAAGCTCGAAGAACTTTTAAATAAAATGCTCTTATTTATACACAACCAATTTAAACTTTGTTGTTCGATTTGAAATTATTTTTTTTTCTCAACCTCTGAATGTGTGAGTTGGTATAACCAGTCAGTGAATGGCCCTTTCTGAACTGGCCTTATTGAACCGGATCAGAGACCCTTAACCTGCAGTGGGAGGGAACTGTGTTTGGTGGGGGGGGGGGTAATCTCTTCTGAATGTTATGGAGTAGCCTGTTCAGTGCGAGGGGCTGAACGCATCACGCGCCTTTACCACTCCATCAACACAGAATGACATTGCAGAGCGCACAATAAAACTAGCCGTCATTCTTCGCGACGGCTTGGACAAATTGCGCAGACGTTTTTAATACACTTGGTTTGAAATGCATTTCCTACACTTAGTCAAATACACTCCACCCCAAACCTCCTCCTCCCTTTCCCTGAGAAAACCTATGTGAGTGTGTGGGTGCGTGTGTGTATGAGAGAGAGAGACAGAGAGAATGAGATGTTTGCTCTACCAATGCTTTGTAAAGTTTCTTGATGCATTACACAAGCGTGCAATTGGAGTAGTGTTGAAAATTGTTAATTTATTGTTTAGAATGTCTTTGCTTCCCAGCAAGAGCAAATAAAACAAAATGTAGCATCTGTAACCGAAACCTGAAAGGTGCTTGGGCTACAGAACCTTTTACACAGGACTAACACAAAACAAAAAAAATACAATAAAATGAGTCTTTTTTTTTGTTTTCAAAGTGCCATAGCTAGTGAGGAGCGGAAGGATTGGCAGAGTGGGGCATAGATGCTTTACTGTGTGAGTTTACTTGAGAAACCAATCAAAAAAGGGGAACTTCAAGGAAAATGTGTATTTGATTACACTGGCAAACAGTTTTTACATTTTATGCTTTTTTTCATTTGGTGAGAGAGGACTCTGCTGGACTCTGAACTGAGACTCTACTACAAATCCATCAGCTCTACTGTAGTTTTTTTTTTAATTTTCACATGAGGATGAAAGTGTGTGTCTGTGTGTGTATGTGTGTGTATGTATGTGTGCATTTGCATTAAGGAGAGCCGCAAACACCCACATTTGATGGATAAGCATGGGTTGAAGTTCAGAGCTATGCAGGGCCCTTACTGAGTCCTCCTTTGAGATGTATATACAATGTGAAGGTCTGAAGTGATTTTTGTTAAATTCTATATTTTATCGCTTTTGTAGACATTTTGTTGTGGGAAGAAAAAAAAAATAAAAGAAATTTTATGGGTGCATTTCTGCCTCGTTTTTCTGTCTCACACATGCACTTTGTTGGAATTTTTTTTATTTTAGCCAAACATTAAATAAATGTATTCTCTATAAATTAATTCCTAACTTTTAATGGTAATTGTAATAACAATTGTCATGTCTCTGTGTCAAAATATTCATAGAAAAGAACAACATAAATAGTGATTTAGACTTTTGTTAAGTCATGAAAAAGCAGTATGTTGTTACTGCATTTCCGATAATGATACATGAGATACAGCTTAATTATAATCCCTTCTTTAACAAGAATAATCTGCAACCCTCCCTCCCTTCCTCCTGACACTATTTACTTATATTGAAAGAACATATTGGCATCCTTTGTACAAATTACAGTAATTAAATCTCTAGCGTCCAGTCACAGTTTCCTCTGAAAAATGAATCAGGCAGAGCACCAAGACAGTATTTTGTAAAAACATATGTCTGAGTGTGTACTCAGGCAGACATGTCTCAGAATGTGTGCTGGTAAAAGTGCATGTGTCTCCCTTTCTATACTTTCTGGGTCAGAGGTTACAACCCGGTTTCATCGTCCTCTTGATCTTCTTTCCCCGGTGTAGATTCTGCTTCGCTGTTGTTCTCGCAGCTGTCCGAACACTTCCTCAAATCTGAACAACAGAAACATCAGTTAGCGACATGTCGCTCCAATAACGCAGTCATTATCACAAGAAAGAGAATACTGACAGGCCTGGGAGGAAGTCCACGCATCCGGCATGAATAATTTGGTTTGATTTGTTGGAGAAATCTTGGAGAGGACACAAGAAGAGGAAGAGGAAACACAACACACCTTTGAAATATCAAAACAACTGTGTCTGAATGTTTGTGTTTGTGTGTTTGTTTGCTGGGCTTGTTTGTTTTTGAGCACAGTTTCTTCCCGAGCAGTTATCCTCTAGATGCCGGTATCGTGCCTACCCAGAGACGTTAATTAATAGCTAATCAAAGCTAATGTCTCAGCAGCACATTGCCAGCACAAAGACATGATTAATACGTAATCAAAGGCCGTGGAGCACAACGCACAAAGCAGGGCCCACCCCCATGCCTCAAACACTACTGTTGTTATAGAAATAAACGAACACTCGCGGCTTAATTAGCTGGCTGTTGGTGTGTGCTGTCTTCATTTGAAGTTGTTGGGGATTTATCTCAGAGCCAACGTTGGCCTCCTGAGTGACGACACAGAGGTGACATACGAATACATGCTTATACACACGTGCACAAGAAAAAAACAAACACAATGACAAAAAATCCTTTGTATACGCTAAGGAGTGCAAAACACATAATGGTATAGGATAAAGAAATGTATTTTTCAAGTATTTTAACACTGTTTACATGCACTCTCCCTTTCTCTCTCACACACACAAACACACAGCAATACCAAACATTTCTGACCTGCCAGGCCCAGTCTGTGGCAGCAGCCACCGCAAGAGTGTTTCTGCAGGAAACCGCTGATGGCAGCATCACCAAGGTTATCTGGACCAAAAAGCATCTCACCCCTGCTACCACTGCAACAGAAAAATAAAAGTTTTATCTTTCTCACGATACATATTTGAGATCCCTTGTTCTAACATCAGAAGGGGAAGATGTTTGCCATTAATAACCTTGATATGTTGTTGGTAACTGTACCTTTGATCGTCTGTCATGATGACTGTTGGATCGGTCAGCTCCTCTCCTACTCCTGTTAAGAAAAGTACACATAAGTTAAGACAAACAACTCAACAACTTACGTGTGTCCATACACAGGTATGCTGCAAACACACACACACACACACACACACACAGAGTAAAGAAACCTACCTTGAATATCGAGTACCAGAAGCTCTCTGCAGGAGTACTCATAAGTCCAGTGAGAAAACGCCAGCAGCATTTCTTCCAGTGAACAGCAGGGGGTGATCTCTTCTCCTGTGTTATTGTTGTACTTCCTGAAGTCACCGGACATGTTCCTCTCAATAGTCAGCCACTGGCCATTCGAATGCCAGAGGACCAGTGCTACATCTAGAAACCTAGTGGGCAGAAAAGACAATTAGTACATGCACAGACACACACAGACGCATATACAGGAGAGAACACACACCTTGGTGAGTGGTGCATATCATCAGGTTTGACTTCATTGAACACTTGCATCATCTTCTGAGCTGCTCGCTGCTGCTGGATCTCCTTTAGGGAGGTCAAACAGAGGTTGATGATAAAATTAAAGGGTAAGGTTGGTATTTTTCATCCTGGACCCTAATTTCCCATGTTTCTGTGTCTAAGTGGCTAATGGGAATGACTTTTTTTTTGGTCCAGTATTGATCAGGGGTGTAATTCACAACTTTTAATCACGAAATAATATTAGACCAATTCTTTGGACAGCGATACAATATTTGCTGATATCAAAAAGTCTGCTGCAATACAATTTGATTTGATTCAATTCAGGGGACTTTGATCGATACAAAACCATATCAGTAAATATCCTCACTGTCAACCTTGGTACTTACGATTATATGCCCGCACTTGGCCGCTAGCTCTGTTTGAATATTTAGGAAGAGATGTGTGCTTGGACAGAAATGGTTACACAGACAGGCAATGGGAATTTGACAATAAAGTTGTATCTTAATGATGATGATATGTGTCAAAGTTTTCACTTTGCATCGATAATACTGGAACGCTGATCACTGTATCATCATTACACCCCTAGTCTGAGCAAGACCACTGCAGACAGCAGCGGTGAAAATAGGCTGCAATGTAACCATTTGGGGGCATGTTCGCACTGTTAATTTACATCTACTAAAAATGCTTGTTTTTGCCACTGACAGGCTCAGATTGGTATTTTAAGTGTCTGACAACATTAAAAAAAGTATGACCACAGAGATAGACCTCTTTGTTAGAGACTTATATCTTTTTAGTTTATCCCGAAACTGCCCCAAATCACTATCACCGAAGCCACCAGACTGTGTTTAAACATTTTATCATTGTAAAACAACTCTGGTTTGGTTAAAAAAACCCTCAATTTACCAAGTTAGATGTGAAAATATGCTGGCTCCATACATGCCAAAATTATTGTTTATTTAAATAGAGTCTAGTGGGTTTAGTGATGGCGATTTTGAGGCTGTTTCTGGTTAAACAAAAGGGATCTTATTCTTTTTTTTTTTTTAAAAAAAAAGTAGGGTCATTTCCATAATGTTGTCAGACACTTGAAATAACAATCTGATCTTTCCAGTGGCAAAAACAAGCATTTTTGTGTATGTAAATTGACAGTGCAAATATGTCTCAAGTGGTTTCATTGCAGCTTGTTTGATCACTGCCGGCTGCAGCGTTCTCATTCAATACTGAACGCATGTCAAAAAAACGTTGTTCCTAATTGTTTCATTTCATTTAGACACTAAACCTTGGAAAAATAGGGTCCAAGATGAAAACTACCAAAGTTACCCTTTAAATCTGTAGGAAGATAAAGGTCTAGGAGGTTTAAAACTGTGAATATGTGGCAATTTTGCAAATTGTTAATGCTATCAGCTTCTAGAAAGTCCTCAACAACTACTCAGTGCTTCCCTGCCTATGCATACTTCACTTTTCAGGTACACTTACTCTTAAACAAAGCTGTAGTGCCGTGCTACCAGGGAAGTACCTCTGCCAGGCCCGAACCACCTCCTGCTTGAAGGCTTTCACTACGTATACCAGACCAGGTCTGAGCACGTCCCGTTCTGCCCAGGTGCACAGCACCCTGCAGCCCTGCCGGAGACCTCCATCCAGCGAGCCCTCTTCACTGGAGAGGGGCTGC